TCCCTCCCCGGGCAGTGAGCGCCCCCAGCCAGGCTGCGCGTCGGGGAGGACCGGCCCGGCCCGGGGTTATAGCCACTGTTGGCTCCTGGGAGGCCGAGTCCAAGGGTCTGTGGGGCGCGGGATACTCAGGGTGAGCGCCCACTCTCGATGGCGTCTCGCACCCGAGTCAAGGGCTGGTGGAAGAGACCCTCCCCGGTAGGCCAAGGACCCGGCTCCAACTTCTTCTCCCAGCCAGTTGCAGGATCCCTTGGGCTCTTAGGACCCAGGCCCATGGGGAGGCAGTAACTACCGATGGCCTCTTCCGTCTTTCTCCCAGGGCGTGGCTCTACCCCAAGTCCATGTGAGGAGGGTCTCAGAACTGGCCCCCTGGGATCAGAAGCTCGGTCCCCTCCCGTTCGGGGGCGGCGCAGAGGTGCCTAGGGCTCTGGGATCGTCAACCCCGCGCGCGCCGGGAGGCCCTGGGAGGCGCTCTGCGCCGCCCCCCATCAGGCGGGCGGGGGCACTGGACCACCAGCTTCTGGTTCCCAGGCCGCCTCCTCTCAGGCGCGGGTTTGGGATCATAGAGGGCCCCAGCAGGAACGTTCTGTGGCGCTCGAGGGATCCGGGCAGGCCCAGGTTTCCCCTCCAACACGACCCCCCGACGCTGCTGGCGCGCTCTGCACCTGCCGCGCCTCCAGAGCCCGCGTCCCCGGGCCTCAGCCCTGAGGCTGCGATGACACCTACTGGGCACCGCGGGCCTTGCACGCCGGGCAGTGTCGCCGCCGGCAGTCGGCTCCGATCCCCCCCCCTTCCCCGCCGCCGGCGGCTCTGGTGCCTTGGCAACACGGAGCGACCGGGCGCTGGAAGGGTGTAGCCCTATCTGTGGAGCGGGAGAGATACCCGGAGCTGGGTAGAGCGAGCACAGGCGGGAAGGGGATCTCCACCTATCGGAGAACGGCGCCGCGAGCGTGCGTGCCTCCTCTGCCCTGTAGATTTGTGTCGCCAGCACGCGGTCCAGGCCCCCGGAGGATGGCCGGATGCTAGGGAGGGAGCGTGTCAGGGCCCTCTGTTCCTAAGGGAGAGGGACAGAGCGCCCTCCTAGAATTGCCAGCTCCAGTGGGTACGACGGGAGAGTTCGGGGTGAGACGGCGCCAGCCCTGCACCCCGGCCCGCCCCTTCCCCTGATTTCGCGCACGTTCCTCTCGCAGCGCTGCAAGGACCGCCTGAACTCGCTGGCCATCTCGGTGATGAACCAGTGGCCCGGCGTGAAGCTGCGGGTGACCGAGGGCTGGGATGAGGACGGCCACCACTCCGAGGAGTCCCTGCACTATGAGGGCCGCGCGGTGGACATCACCACATCGGACAGAGACCGCAATAAGTATGGACTGCTGGCGCGCTTGGCAGTGGAGGCCGGCTTCGACTGGGTGTATTATGAGTCGAAGGCCCATGTGCATTGCTCCGTCAAATCCGGTGAGCCGCCGCTGGGGGGCTGGGCCCGGGGCCGGGGCCGCAGGGCGTGGGCAGGCGGCCTAGTGCCCGTTGGGGCCGAAAAGGTGAAGAGGCCCGCCCGGGGATGGAAGCGGGGACCCGGGGGAAGAGGACGTCGGCGGCGCTCCCTGTGGCTGCGCGTGACCGCCTGCTCATCCTATGCCCGGGAGTGTCATGGCAGGACCCTAGGGAGATAGGGCCCTGACCCCCTGCCGCTGAGTGCTGACCTGGCGGTTCACAGTCCAGCGCCTGCCACAGAAGGTGCAAGACAGAGCACGCTGGACAGATGGAGGAAGCCAGGCTGACAGAAGCGGCCGCCCCACCCAGCCTGGTGCAGACCAGAGCTGATGATGGGGCCAGGGGCCAGGGTGTGCCCAGACACTGGCATGCATGCCTGACCAGGAGCCCCGGAGTTCAGAACCCACCACCAGTTGCAGGTCAGGCCTCCCTGGGACGCAGGCGTCCCCAACCTCTCCCCCAGTGCCCTGAAGCTGGACATTCTGGGGCAAAGCCAGCTATGAGAGCCAGAATAAACAAAGTGGACTCAATAAAGTGGATTTTCCCAGATTGGCCGCCTTGTTGATGAGAATTGGCAGGCACTGGGGCCTCATCCCCTCTCTCAAGTCTTGTCAGCACCCCTGTCACCTACACTGAACCCAATCATGGATGCTTTAAGTGGTTCTGGTGTGGGTCCCAGTCTGGCCCGCCTATGGGCTCAGCCCTCCACACTGGCACCATGTAGCAGTCGCACTCATGATCCAAACACTGAGACCAGGCCCGAATTTGGGTATTCCTGATCCTATCTGGGCTCACGGTGGTGACCCCACCCTCTCCCACAGCCACACCCTTCCGCTCAGCACTTCCCCCAACAACTTGTCTACTGCAAATCCCATCTGCCTTTCACCAGCAAACACGGGCCCAGGGGGACTCCCAGGGCAGCCACTTCCATACATTTCGCCTGACCCCCAGCACTGTTCTCCATCCACCTGCTGAGGCCGTTGTGTCCTCTCCTTGCACAAAGACCCAGCACATGAACTGAAGACAGAGATTGTGTCCTTGCCCCTGACCTGACCATTCCCTCTGAGGCTGCCCCAGGAGTCTATATTCGACCCACTGGCTGGTCCTCCTCTCACATCCTTGACTCAGGGGACCAGCTCTGTCACAGAACTTGGGGTGTCAGTCTGAGAGGGCAATTTGGGGGGAGTGTCTGAGCAAAGGGCAAGAAATAACAGAACCTCTAGACCCCAGAGGAGCTGAGTGACTTCCCCCTCCTTGAAGCTTCAGCTTTCTTGGTGTCAAGTCACAGTCACCCACCACCTAGCTCAGCTGAACCCTGTGTTGTTTTACAGCATTGCCAGGCTGGGAACAGATGGGGGGCATCACCTGGGGTTTGGGAGGGTCCATTTCCTTTCACCCACTGGGTCTTGGATCTCCTTTCATTGGCAAAGGATTGGGCTGAAGAGCACATTGGGGCTGGGGTAGGGGTGGATTCAAACCTGCATGGGAAGTGGGGGGTCAGGATATAGTAATGGGGGCTCTCTGGGAGCAAGAGGAGCTCTGGCTGGGCAGGGGTGGTCAGGGGAGGGTGTTGTGACTGGGAGGCCGAGCTAGCAGCAGTAACACCTTCCTGTCCCTTCTTCCCACAGAGCATTCAGCCGCAGCCAAGACGGGTGGCTGCTTCCCTGCTGGAGCCCAGGTGCGCCTGGAGAGTGGGGCACGTGTGGCCTTGTCGGCCGTGAGGCCAGGAGACCGGGTGCTGGCCATGGGGGAGGATGGGAGCCCCACCTTCAGTGATGTGCTCATTTTTCTCGACCGCGAGCCCGACAGGCTGAGGGCCTTCCAGGTCATTGAGACTCAGGACCCCCGACGCCGCCTGGCACTCACACCCGCCCACCTGCTCTTCACGGCTGACAACCACACAGAGCCAGCAGCCCGCTTCCAGGCCACATTTGCTAGCCATGTGCAGCCTGGCCAGTACGTGCTGGTGGCTGGGGTGCCGGGCCTGCGGCCTGCCCGAGTGGCAGCTGTCTCTACACATGTGGCCCTTGGGGCCTACGCACCACTCACGCGGCACGGGACACTGGTGGTGGAGGATGTGGTGGCTTCCTGCTTCGCGACTGTGGCTGACCACCGCCTGGCTCAGTTGGCTTTCTGGCCCCTGCGACTGTTTCACAGCTTGGCATGGGGCAGCTGGACTCCAGGGGAGGGTGTGCACTGGTACCCCCAGCTGCTCTATCGCCTGGGGCGTCTCTTGCTAGAAGAAGGCAGCTTCCACCCACTGGGCATGTCTGGAGCAGGGAGCTGAAAGGACCCCACCTCTACCCTCCCAGGACTGCCATACTGGGTTCAGAGGCCTCCCAGTCAGGAGGGTGCTGGCCCTGGAAGAGACCTGAGCTAGGGGCACTGGTGCTCACCATCTCCTTTACCATGGAGACACACCATTGAGACTTGACTGGGCAGTGCCAGTGTCCCCATCTCCATCGTGGTGAAGTGATAGAACTGCAAGCCGAGCTGGTGAGGGGTGGCTGTCTATCCGTCTGTCCTAGAGACCTTAAGGTGGGCTTGGTGGCTCCCAGCCCAGCCAGCTATGATTTTTCACACCCTGCCCCCCCTCTTGGGAGGTGGGGCCGTTCCATCTTTCTTAGGCCCCCTTGGGTGGGCTTGCACCTCAGTTGATGCTGCTAGATTCCCTGGGAGCCAGCAGGGAGCTGGCTGGACTCAATGCTGCCCAGAACCGAGAAGGCCACAGGGGTGGGGCAGCCAGCCTGGCCATCCTGAGGTATGACCTTCCTCCCTGGCCACACTCCTCAAGACACATGCAGAGACTGTTGCTGTCAGCGGGCAGAGTCCTGTGTTCCGGTCAATGTGACTATAGTGCCTGGAATGGGGAAGGTGGGCTGGATGTCCTTGCCACCCCTGCCCAGGCTAAGCTCCCATTTCTGCTGAACCATGACCCCCACCCCCTCCTCCGGTCAGTCTCCCCCACCTTATTTATTGGCACGGAGGGGGAAGCCCACAGGAGAATTTGGGGGACATTCTGGTCTTTTCTTTCTTTTGTAATAAAAATTATTTAAGTTGTTAGAGCCATAGAGTCCAGGATACTGAGTGGAAACAGCACACAAATAGTTGGAGCTGTGGAAGGGTCTGCTCAGGGATTTGCTCCCCTCTTCAGTGAGGCCTGACTCACCTTGCTCCAAAGACAAAGCCTCTTGAGTGCCTACCCTTCCCACCCAGTAGCTCTGCAAAGCCCTAACAGAGAGTTGTGCTCTGTGCTGGGCAGAGCCTTTGTACACTGACCCCAAAGTTTACCCTAAATAGGAATGGCCCAAAGAGAAAACTGAGTAACTAGTCCATGGTTGCTTCACTCATCTGTAACCATCTCCTTGTGCTCTCTGGGCCTGGGTTTCTGATGCTTCACTGTTGTTAATGAACCGCAGTGTGAAAAGATTTCAGAGAATTCACCTTTGTCTTGTGGCCTATTCTGACTTCTTGGACAGGTCAGAAGTCTCTAACCTCAGAATCCACTTCCAGGATTCTGCTTTGACAGATCAGCATGAGGCCCTGGAACTTATTTTTTACAAACACCTTGAACATGGCAGATGGTCTGTGGATCACACTTTGAGAAACACTGTTCAGAGAAGGCCCAGTTTATGACCAAGACAGGACTACTCCCTTCTTCACTTAATCTCAGTTTCTCCATCCCAAGACAAGTTTTTCTGTACTCAACACAGGTCAGCTGAGATTCTGGGTTCAGTGGTACAATTGTTACATTTTCAGGAATTTTGTGAATACATTGAAATAGGCATGGTGGTCATGGAACACTGTGGAAATTGCCAATGCCTCCACATTAGGATTTCCCCTACTGGGGGAAGCCAGTTGTTAAAGCATGCCACTGCCCAAGTGCTGTCGTCTTACAGAGATGACTGTGTTGGAAGTAGTGGCAGTGACCATTCAGACTCCTACCTTACCTACCTCTCACATCCATGGAAGAAAACTTCATTGCTCTGAGTCTGTGTCACCTGAGGAAATAGGCCCCTGCAGGCTATAATGATAACTGCTCTCATTTCATGATAAGTGATCACTGCTAGACATTATCCTAGACCTTTATACTTCATAACTCATTTAATTCCTGTAACAACCCGATGGGTGTGTACTTTAGTACTGCCATTTTCCACATGAGAACACAAAAGCATAGGGAGGTTAAGTGACTTGCCCAAGATTATGCAGCAAGTGACAAGCAGGATTTGAACTCTTCCAGACTAGCTGTTGGGCCCACTGTTTTACCACAAAGCTTTTCCCTTGGGGAACTTGAGTCTTCTCTGGCAGGCCATGCTCAATATTTCAAGTGCGGAAATCTGCTTTGTTAGCACATCTAGAGAGGACCCTTCTCTCTGTGGCAGATTCTCTTACCAGCCTCCCAGGGACAAAAATGACCATGAACTCATTTATAGTGAGAAATACAAAGTCCAGGTCAAGATGCTCTTGTCCACTCATTTGCACATTCTCTCCCTGTAGACATTGTACCTGGAAGATCAGATTATAATGATAGTTGTTGTGAGTGTGGATGCACAGAATGGATGGGGAGGGGGCTCTCCTACCAGGCCTGGGCACACTTGATCCAGCGGACGCAAAGCCTATTTGGTGTTCCTAGACCTTTCTGTTCTAAATGGACCTCCTCAGAGAACACATGAATTCTTTAGACAAAGATTGCAGAGACTCTCCAGAAGACTTTATCTGAATTCAGGCCCTCAAAGCACCAAACTTGGGGTGAGGATGAGGCTCTATAACTTTTCCAGGGATCCTGGGGCCCAGATCCGAAGAGACGAGGAACAAGAAATGAGGACATAGGCTGAAATTCATCCTTCATTTCTGTAGCATGATGGCCCCAATGTCCCCACCCTCGGTACCATGTCAAGGCCCAGAGGAAGGTCATGCTCTGAGACCAAGCCCAGGCAACTGCTGACCGATGCCTGCCTCTCCACTTGGGCGCAAGCTCAGCCCTCAAGGCTGTTGCTTCCACATCTGTTATCTTCACTCACAGTCAATGTATCCTGGATGCCCCGCTGTCAGGCACTGTGCCTGAGCAGGGGAAAGAGGCAGTGCCTGCCCTCAGTAAACCCCCAAGTAGGGGGAGAGGTGTGGGAAATGGGGATGTCCACACTGTGCACTGAGCCACTGACATCGTCACAGGGACTGTGGCAGTAACACAGAGCATCTGGGCACTAGGAAGACATCCTGAAGGTGGGATGCTACCACTGCGCAGGAACGAGGAAGGAGGAATCCAGGCTGAGGACAGAGTAAGTCAATGGTTTGGGGCTTGAATGAGCCTGATGTCTTAGAGGAACCACCATTAGGCTAGCATTGCAAAGCTGAGTGGGCACATGTGAGTTTGGTAAAAACTGAGAGGGAGAGGGCAACAGGAGTCAGATGACACGGAGCCTGTGCTCCATGCATTTGGACTCAATCTTGGGGGCCTGGGAAGCACCTGGAGGGTTTGAAGTTGGGGAGACCCATGACCAAATTACTTCAGAAAGCCTGCCCAGTTACAGCATGGAGGACAGACTAGAGGGGACAAGAGTGGAAGCACTAATGGGGAGAAGCTAGTGACCTGGACTGGGGAGGGGCCTGTGGGATCAGAAAGAAGGTGACAGATTGTAGACAGTTGGGCACTGGAATGGCCAGAATTGAAGCAATGTTGGATGAGCCATGGGAGAGAGAAAAGAGCCCAAGTTAACTTTGGGGTTTCAAGCAAAAATCCAGCTCCCCCACTTCAGCATCCTCGACCTTGGCCTCCGTAGCTGCCCCAGGGCTTTCTCCTATCAATATATTTTCTCCTTGTTGCCCAAGCGCCTATCTGGGTTCAAGACACCCTCCAGGCTCCTGTTCACTCTGCCTGCTCTCCCCACCCCACCTTGGAAGTGCACGAGGAAGAACTCAGAGTAGCCCCTGATAATCCAGGCCAGGCAAAGTGAAAGACCTATTCCTAAGTCCACAAGTCCCCTGGGAGACCTAGAGATAGTGAGACCCAGAGTGTTGGGGTCCACGAGACAAAGAGGGGTGCCTCCTGGCTGTGAATCCTCTGGAGTTGCCTGGGCTGACTGCCTTCAAGACAAGCTTGCTGCGCCTTGGCTCCCCTACCTGCTGTGCCCTTTCCTCAGCTGGGTCTGCAGCCTCCTCTCTTTCGTTTGGAAAGCCCCAGTCATCACTGGACATAGCTCCCTGGAAGCCCTGTGGGCCTGCACTCACCCCTTTCCCTTGGCACACTCAAGGGCACTGCCTGTGGATGGCTTCCTACTGCTGGAAAGGGCTGAACCCAATGCAATAGTCCTTTGGGCAGCAGGGCCTACTTCTGGCACCTGCAGACCCTGTGTAGGAACCGAAAATAGGTACCCTCTGTTGAAAAATTTAGCAAAAAGCGCCCCCTTGGGGACACTCAACTAGCACAACTCTTCTGGTCTGGCTCCAAGAACAGGAAGTCCCTTTAGAGAGCCTAGTGCAGAGTACAGCATGCAGCATATCTGGATGTTAGCCTCCTGCCTACCTAGCCTAGGGGATACAACTTGCACAACCGCAAACTGTGGTCCTGACAGGCCTGGGCCTCTGCCAGGCTCAGCTGATTCTGCCAGGGACGAAGATTCAGAGAGAAGTTCCATACAGTGTGATACCAGAAGAAGCACAGAATGATGAGACAGGAGCGGGAACAGGGTACGCAATGCTCGGAGACTTCCTGGAGGTGGCTTTGGCCTGGGTTTTCAGAGGCATGAGTGACTTGGGCAAGGGTAGGTGGATGGATCATCAGGTGCAGATGCTCAGAGGGGAATCTCAGGCACTGGGAGCCGGTGTAGTTGGGGCTAGAAGAGTCAGGAGAGGAGACTTCGAAATGGGAGGTGGAGAGGATAAATAATGTCTCCCATGCAGGGGTGGAGCTGAGGACATGAGGGAAGTGCCCGAGCAGGCAGGCAGCACCCCAAAGGGTCAGACTCCAGCAACGGAGGCCTTCTTTGGAGAGCACAGGCCCGGCTTCCCGCCTGGGAGGGCACCCCTTCCAGGAAATCTCCCTGGCAGGGATGGTGGTAGCAGCTCTACAACCCATGCCCTCTGGCCCCTGGGCGGCTGTGCTTTCTTCTGGGGTTGGGCCCCACCTCCCACACCTTAGCCTGGTTCTCAAAGCCTCTTTGTTTCACAGGCTGAGTGGTGGCCAGCCTGGGTCTGATAAGACTTAGTAGAGTAGATAGCACCACACCCAGAGTGCCTCACCGCCCTGAGTCACACCTGGCCACCTGGCATGCATGCACCTTGCATCCACCCCAACTGGGCATAGCCATGGGGGCCCCCCTGCCCAGGTATGGCAAAGGTTTGACCTCAGGGCTGGTCCTTCCATTGAAGATCACTCATTCTCATGGAGAAGCAGAATAGGGGAATTATTATCCCATTTCAGAGATAAAGTTCCGAGAGAGAAAAAAACTTGCTCATAGTCATTTCTTCCACAATCAGGAGCACCTACTTCAGGCCAAGTGTGCTAGGTGTGCTATTGACATGATCTGTTTTCATTCTAACAGCCTGTGACATGAGGTTGTTTCTAATGTCTACTTTGCAAATTAAGAAACAGAGGCCCAGATACATGAAGCCATTTTTTTTTTGAGTTGGAGTCTCACTCTGTCACCCAGACTGGAGAGCAGTGGCCGTTTCCGGCCACTGCAGCCTTGACCTGCTGGGCTCCGGCAATCCTTCTGCCTCATCCTTCCAAGTAGCTGAGACTACAGGCACGCACTACCATGCCTGGCTAATTTTTGACTTATTGTAGAGATGAGGTCTCACCAAGTTGCCCAGGCAGGTCTCGAACTTGCCGGCTCAGACAATCCACTTACCTCAGCCTCCCAAAGCGCTGGGATTACAGGCTGAGCCACCGAGCCTGGTTGAAGTCATTTTCTTAAAATCACACAATTGCAGAGTCCAGACCAGAACGCACATTCTCTACACAGCAGACCAAAGGAGGTGGGAACTGACAGGGATAGGAAGGCCCTCCTAGCCTCAACCCAAAGGATCTGATGGGGCTGGAAGTGACCAGGACCCTGTCAGAGA